TGTGAAAGGTTGTTGTGCAAATTTGATTTAGTTGATCTAGTACATCTTGGGTGTATTAAATGGACCTAGGTAGGATGACATTATTTTATACTGACCAAGTAAATAATCTAGACCTGAGAAATTGATGCGTTATCGTAACCCGTAAGACAATAAATGGGCATATGTACTCAACACTTATTTATTTGATTTACCAACGGTCATACCTATTTTGATTAGGTTGACATACTCGGTATTTTGGTAAATAATGTTGTTTACATGATGTGCCGTTAAATTTTTTTACGGTCACTATGTGGTCTATCGGGTTGATGACATTCTAAAAATGAGCTCAGGAAGGTTTATTATGTTAAGCTCTACTTGTGGATTAATTTCTGACATAATAATTAAGAACTGAGTGGTACTAATTTTGGATAGAAAAATTAACTAATTAAATTGTCAATAATTTAATTAACTAATAGATATTATATCATAAACATTGTGAGGTAATTCGATCAATTAATGTAACGGGAACAAATTATTAGTAATTCGAAGCTAAATTGGGAGTGCAATAACATTACTCTAGTAGAATATTTTATTATTTATTCAATAAGAAATAGGTAAAAGACAAAGAGTCTTCTGTAATGTTAACACAAGTTGAAAGACAAGTAGAAATACAAGTAGAAAGACATAAGGTATTCTAGAATGTTAACAAGTTGGAAGACATAAGGTCTTCTAGAATGTTAACAAGTTAAAAGACATAAGGTCTTCTAGGTGTTGGCAAATTATAAGACATAAGGTTTTCTATTTATATTTGAAAAAACTCATATTTACCACCTCCTTAGGGTCTCTGTTGTAGCCTATAAATACAACAAGTCACACTCCTACACACACATATGATCTGATTTTTAGTCTTAAAAATGAGAAAAGAAAAATAAGTTTTATATTATGAGGTTTTAGACGTTTGGTTTAGTCGCACCACCAAGACTACTCGAAGTAGGTGTAGAGGAAATACATCAGAAGATCGTGAGGTATAGTTTCTCGAGTTTTCGGCGAATTTATTTATCACCGAGAATAACCACGAGCAGCATTCGGCAACCAACGACAGTTGTCGACGACATACCAGCTTCCAGCCTGCAACCGACGTGACCGTGCCCGACGACTCCTACTCGACCACGATGACCTCAGCGTCATCCTCACGACCTGCAAACCAGACGTGACCAGAAAGCCCAACGCGATTTAAAGATCCCGGCCACGTGCAGACCCATGACGACCTCGACGCCATCCTCGCGACCCGTACACCTGACGCGCACGACGTTCCTGTCGAGCTCAGACGCGCGACTCTCGTGCAGATCGCGAGATCCCCAGCGAGACCCGTGCAGCGACGCACAAACTCGCGAGAATCTCGCCAGTAACCGACGATTTGCATCCGTAGTGCTCGATGCGCAGGCAGCGCCCAACGCGCACACACACCCTCAGCGCCCGACGCGCATTCCGTACTCGGACAACTCCTGACGAACAGAGACCAGTGCGATCCCTACAGACCTGCACGCGAGCAGCACTCGGACCACGCGTGACCCAGCGATCCCAAGGCCCGATACGACAATCCTGAAGATAGTCCGGCTGCCTAACGAACTTTGAGGTTCGAATGGTCTCCTACAACGGAAATCAGAAATGACTTAGAGTAGGCAAAATTTTTAAACCGTAAGTCATAATCCTAACTATAAATTTCGCTGCGTTAGAATTTAATTCGTTAGATTCAGATGTGCATATCGACGACGTTCCTTATAGAACCCAACAGGCCTACGATTACGAGATCATTCAATGCATCTTGCCATCTTTTTTCATTAAGGTAAGTAAAGTAACAGAACTACGAGGAGTTTGATTCCCAATGTAAGGGATACGTAGGCAACTTAATTGACATAATATAAGTTAAATATTATTTTTAACCCAAAAAAATTCTTCAACTTAAATGATATGTTACTTATAATATATCAACTAAGCTGAAATTCAAATTTTGTAACACTCACCCCTCTTCCTCTAATTTTCTTTTTTTTTTTCCAAAAAACTTGTCGAAATCGGTTCCGTGACCCAAAACTTGCGGGCCGATTCTAAACTTTGAACCGCCGAACCGGCCGATATATATTATCGGTTCGATTCTAGTTCACCACAGTTGCTATCGGAAATTGTTGACTGGACATGTCTACCGCCGTGCCCAACTCTTTTTTTTTTTTTTTTTTTTT